TTGCCCTGCTCCATCTTGGGAGGCGGGGGGAGCAGAGAATGCCCGGGGCTACTTATTCCTGGAAATGCTGGGGGTACTCAGTGCTTGAAGTGAAAAGAGTGAATTTTTCCATATTAGGTAGATGATGAGAATTAAAAATCTGTTAGCATCTCTGATGTGCCAAATACTTTACGTACCTTGTCTCCAATCTTTACACCTGCCTTAAAATTGGATACCGACCTTCCCCCATCTTACAGATGAGAAAACTAAGGCTCCAAGCAGCAAAGTGGCAGGTCCCAGGCAACACGCTGAACTGATGGTCTAGCAGGGTTTGAACTAGGTTCCATCTGGCCTGCCAGTGTCACCAGGGACACGTCAGCTGGTTGGACCCTGACGCCTTGTGCTCCGTGCCACCCCCCCACCACAAGACAGGGGTTCCTGGCCTTCTCCACCCACTCAGGGCTCATGCTGCCCAGCCCTCGTTATGACTGCCAAGTGCTGGGACCTGATTCGAATTTGGGGTTCTCTCCACTGCAGCCCAGCAAAGGTTTTTATTGGAATGCCCCTCGGATTTCCAGACTTTGAAGATGTTTCAACAATGCAGTAAAAGGCAGGTCTTTGCCACAACAAAAGGCAGAAATATCACCGAGAAGTAAACAGAATTCCTCGGCCTCTTCAGAGCATGTGTCAACATCTTTTCTTCTCCTTTCCCCCATTTTTCTTTTCTTTTCTGCAGATTCAAAGCCTTCCGGGGAGGGTGCCTTCCTGGCACTGATGGGGTGGGCCACAGGCTGCCCCAAGCTCAGTATCACCGCCTCAGAACAGATGCTGGGGCTTTGGTAAACTGAGAAAGCGTAAACTGCTGTGAGATGCCTTCCTGACGACCACAATTACCCACATGGAAAAGCCATTCACAGTCCCAGCCCCCTCGCCCTGCCCCCTGGCACACACATGTGGCGTGCCGCGGCTCCAGAAACAGGCCTTCCCAGAATGAAAATGTATGTGACAAGTACAAAACGGCTTGATTTCAACTGATGGCTGGAAATTAAATGGATTTGAAATGTACATGCTTAAAAACAATTTTGGCCGAAAGCATACCCATTTAATATTGCGTCTCTAAATGAGACCTCGCTCCCCAGGCAGGCTTGTAATGTGATGAAAACCAGCAGTCAGGCCCCACCTGAGACCCCCACTCACCAAGGACACGATACCCAGGGGTAGGGTGTGTGTGTGAGTGTGTGTGAGCTTGTGAGCCCATGAGTTCGTGTATGAGTGCATGGTGGCTTAAGCCCACGTTTCAGTGTGTGTGTGACCATGTGTGTGTATGTGTGTGAAGGGATAGAATGGGAGCAGGACACTGCCCTCACATGTTTTTTAAAGTCAGCAAGTGTCATCTGAATACACACCTTGAGTCTGAACAAAGGAGAGGGCAGGAGAGTGTTGACCATAGGAAAGGAGAGGTTGTGACCTCTCAGAGCTTACAGGCCATTTAAGACACTGCAACCAAGTCAAGGAAACAGAGCAAGTCAAGACCATTTTCAGGTGTTGAACTAGAAAGCGGAGGGGGAAATGAACTGATTAGCCATAGACTGAGCACTGGTGTGGAATCGTGAAGAAGAGCTGAGCTCTGAAACAAGTGAGCTGGCTTCATCTCTACAAGTTCTTGACCATGGGATCTAGAGCAGATCACTTATCCCGGGGCCTCAGTCTTCTTGCTGATAAAATGGTTCTAATAGAAGGTATTGTGTTCATGCCATGCATTCAAAAATAATTTCCACGTTATAATCATTTTCCCTGGATGGCACCGATGGAATCTTCCCCAACCAGGGATTGAACCTGTGCCCCCTGCATTTGGAGCACAGTGTCTTAACCATGGGACCACCAGAAGTCCCATCTGCCCATTTTAATATTCCTAGTTTAAATTTATTTATTTTAATTGGAGAAAAATTGTTTTGCAATATTGTGTTGGTTTCTGTCATACATCAAAATGAATCAGCCATAGGCACACATATGTCCCCTCTGTCTTGAACTCCACTTCCAACTCCCACCCCATCCTACCCCACTAGGTTGTCACAGAGCACCAGATTTGAGCTCCCTGAATCACACAGCAAATTTCCATTTCCATCTGCCCATTTTAGAGATGAGAAAACCAAGGCCTCCCAACCACGCAGTGACAGAGGCAAGACTGGAACCCAGAGCCATCTGGCTTCACAGCACACCCTGTCACTCCCTTGTTGAGGCTCTGACCTCCAGAAACACTGGTTTTAGAGACAGGAAAGCCAATTCAATGGGGCAGGAAAGAGAGGCATGGCAGAGGGGAAGAGCTTTCCCAGAGAAGAACATCATGGACCCAGACACCCAGAAGGACCTCTTTCTCAGAGTGAGGGAGGTGAATAGTTCTTCTCTGCAGAATCTGAGAAAGGTCCTGGGGTTTGAGTGGTAACCAAGACACAATGCTGGGCCTTATAAACTACCATTTCATCCTGACCATATCTTCTCCCTGACCAGGGATTGTTCAGTAGCATCTCTTGGCCCCTTCCCAAGAAGAGAGGCTCCAGATCACAGTTAGAAGCCATTACCTTTTCTCATGCTCACATCCATCAAAAATAGAATGAGTTCCCAGGAAGGGAAAGAGGCCCCCATCTACAGCTGGTCTGGGATATTGTTAGAGACCTGAATAGATCAGAGAACATGCAACTGTTCAGTACAATTAAGTGTGACACTGTATAACATCCAGATACTTGGCAAACATTTATTAAGCACTGACTGTATGCTAAGACCCTGTGCTGTGTACAGGGGATTCAGAATTAACATAACACAATCCTTGCCTTCAAGAAGCTCCTGTTCTAACTTAATTCTCTCTCTGCCCCTTAGCCCATTTCTGATTTTCCAGTTTGTTTTGGCAATGGACTATGGTTTATCATTATCAATTGATAAGCAAGGACATTGAATCTTTGGTCTTTATGATTCTTTTTAAAAAGTCTTTTGAGCAAGGCATTTTAGGTTGCTTTAGATTGTCCTTACTAGCATGAAGCCTATTTTCTTTTCCAGCAGGGCTCCTCAGTGTCAGCACTAGTGACATTTGGGGTTTGGGGCTATATAATTCTTTGTTGGGGTGGGGGGAGCTGTCCTGCGTTAACAGCCTCCCTGGCCTCTTCCCACTGGATGTCAGTAACATCCCTCTGCCCAGTGATGACAACCAAAATGTCTCCTCAGTCGTGTCCAACTCTCCAGGCTCCTCTGTCCATGGGCTTCTCCAGGCAAGAATACTGGAATGGGTGGCTATGCATTCTTCCAGGGGATCTTCCCAACCCAGGGATCAAACCCAAGTCTCTTATGTCTCCTGCACTGGCTTATCCACTAGCACCAATGTCTCCAGATATTGCCAAATGCCCCAGGGTACAAAATGGTTCTCAGTTGAGACCAACAGTTCTAAAGGATTCTCTCCAGGAATACAAGGACCAAAATAAGATCAATTAAAGAAAGTCAGGGTCCCTGCATCCCAAGAACTTTTAATCCTGTAGGGCCTACACAAAGTAATCACATGGAAAATAAAGCCTTACTAAGGACCTACTGTGCCCGAGGCATCCGGCAAAGGGGGCTGCTGGGGAGGAGACAGCCCTTGTTCAAGGTCAGATAGCCTGATCATCAAATTCCCTAGAAAAACCTTGGGGTTCCAATACCCGTCTCCTCATCAGTAAATGGTATTATTGTGAGAATTGGCATGAAATAGAATTTGTACAAAGCACAAGGTAGGGACAAAATAGGTGTCCAGTTGATGTGACTCTCTTTTTTTTTTCCTAACCCTGTCCCCACTTTTCCAGATCCTGGGGTCAGTTGCAGCAAATGCATTCAGCTAGCTCATCTTCCCTGTTCCCGTCTATACCACATGGCAAGGTAACACGGTGTCCCCTTGGGAAGCCTGGAGAACAGTTACCTCAGTATCTCCATGTTTGCACTTAGAGGGTCTGGAGTAAACCCATCACCTCCCCCAGGCTGCCAGTCTTTTATTCCACTCACACAGCATCCAAGAAGAGAAAAGATGGTTCCACAAGGCCAGGCCTCGAAAGCATAAAATTAATGCAGAAAACTCCTAAACTTTAGTTAGCGTGGTATCGGGCAAGTTTGGAGAGCTGTTTGCATTCGTTTCAAACAGCTCTTGGAGGCGTTCTGGGAAACCTGTTGGGCAGTGATTTAAGGTTTCATTAGTCACTGGATGTACACGTATTGTGGAGCTCTGAGCACCAGGGTTCGTGAGCAGCTGAAAACCTGAGATCAAGTGCAGGGAGGATTCTGGCTGCCAAATTTCAGGGCAGGGGAAAAAAAAAAAAAAAGAAATCTGGAATGTGTTTCTACTTACTGTCCATTCCAGTAAAATGAAACGGTCTCTCCTCCAAACATGTGTTACTGCTTAGGCCAGAAACTGTATATATTGGTCTAAATCCAGAATGGTCTATGTGACATATTACTCCATATGACAAAACTACTACAACCTGCATTTTCTGCAGAAACGCCTGTTGCAACAGTATAGGACGATAATTTGTACAACAAAAGTACATAATAATTTCATGTCGATGTGGGCCAGGCCTTGGGATTTTCAAAGGGAAATTTCGGGTGCATATGGACCAGTGCTGAATAGGTACTTGTCCCCAAACCCCCACCTTCACCGCCCACCCCCAACACACACACACACACACACACACACACACACGGCTCATATGGTGTGTGATCAGGATGGGAGAAAGTGGGGCTTTATTTATAACACACCATATTCTACTTGAAAGTGACAAGAACACACACAATCAAAAACCTAAAAATAAAGCCAAATGGAAATCTGCTGTTCTCATGCGTGAGGCTCCAGTGGCCGGAGCGGGTTCATCTACCAGCGCGGGAGGAGAAGAAAGCCAGGCGTGTTCATCTTTCAGCGCTGAGCTCTTTCGAACCCGTCCGAAGCGAAGCCACGTGAATTCCTCAAGACCCCCCAAACCACAGCCTCCTCTTTGGCCCTCGTCTGGGCTAAGGTTTCGTTACGAAGCCTGGGCCGCGTTCCAAGCCTCTCATCTGTCCCTCTAAGCGGCTCCGACAGATCCCTCCGCAGTACACGGATTCTCGTCGGGATAACGTCTTGGAGAGGAACAAGCTGGAATCTGATCCAGTCAGAGTGCGTTAGCAGGAAAGCATTTCTTTATGACACTTTTCACAAAGCAAAGATTGCAAGCCGGGGAGAAATATATGACTAGAAAAATTGAATGCAGAACATAAAACAGCTCAATTGCTAATACATTGTAGTGTGACACTGTTTTTCCTGCTGTGGAAACTTCGGTTATGGGATAACGTTAAAAGGTTCTTTTCTCTCCCCTCCCTCCGTCATTCCCGAAATTCTTTCCCTTTCTTCCTTCTTTCTCTTCCTCCCTTGCTCTTCTTCTCTTCTCTTTTTCCCCTTTCCTCCCATCTTCTTTCCCAGTGGATATATTTCCAAAGTTGTGGTTGGGGGAGGGGAGTTTTCTGGGGTGCTTTTGCAAAGTCCCCTTTTCTGAATGGTCCCCACAGAGAAATGGGACACCCAAACATCACTGATTCCTCCCACATCACTTCTGAATTTCAAACCCGCTGTTCTCCCAGAAAATGAGTTGGTCTCTTCTCAACACTCTGAAAAGTGTTCCTATAAAGAAAAAGATCCAGTAAAAGCCCTTTATGTCTCAATTACATCAAAATCTGACTTGAAGTGCGTCTGCTATCAAGGGCCATGGTTTAAGCTACTGTGGCTTAAGGAAAAAGCTTCTCTCTCCAGTCAGCCTGGAAAACTCGACCTGTCTCCTGGGCTGGGTGACCGTCGAAAATCTATCTTCTTAGGGTTTTTTGGTTCAATAAAACCTGAAACATATTTTGCCTGGCATTTTTCCTCAGGATTTTTAAACCCGTGTGCACTTTACGGCAAATGAGATCCATATGGCCCTGATTCATTGATGCTTAAGCCATTAGGATGCTGTTTTGTAAGAACACTTTGATGTCCAAGGGCCATCGAGCTGTTTGGAGGGCTTTTTTCTTCTTCACAAACAGGAAGTTTTCCCTTCTCGAGGCATACACACAGTGAGAGGCCAGTTCCCCTAGAATGGGTGACAGTGAGCAGGAAGTGGTTCCAGCCTGTCAGGATCTGTTTGTCCCCGTGGCCACGGGACAGCCCCCAACCCCGCCTCGGGTATGGGCTGGGAAGGGTCTTGTGTAAGGAGCCTCGGAGCCAGGAAGAGGCCTGGCCCTGGCGCCTGGGTCATTAATGCACTGCCCACACCCCTGGGACTCCCATCCATCTCCCAGTGTGGACTCAACATGCCTTGGCATGTTTATGGCTTTTATGGGACATCAAAATAACATGTGACAAGAACAAACAGCAAAACAGCATGGCTGGGGAGCAAAGAAGGGTGGCATTTGCCCTCCTTTCTCCTGGACTGCTGTGGGAAGGGTGACATGGGCTTGGTTTGGGGATGGGGAGGAGTCAAGAAAGGAAGTGTGGGGAAATCTCGGGTGGCTCAAAGGCCATCTCCAGGGCACCTGAAGACTGCGTATTCCATGTGCTGATAGGGGCCTGGCCCGCACTTGCTCGGTGCCGGTGGGCCCCACGACTCCCAGGGCAGGGAGAGCAAGCCAGGGCTTTTCCCATCAACAGGCAGGCCCGGGCTGGGGAGGCCGGCTCTACCACCCGCCAACTTCACACTTCAGAGCCTCCGTGTGCCCCTCTGTCAGCAGTAATACCCAGCCCGAAGGGTTGTTAGGAGGTCATGAAAATCACCCCAGGCGTCACTCCCACCTCCAAAGGACGTTTGTCACCTGTTGGGTGTTTTAATGTCAGATTTGCACTTTCCTTTCTGCTCACTGCTCTCACTAGGGTGTTTCCTGGGTGGGAGTCTCCTTCTCCCAAGAGGTCACTTTCTCCTGGTCCCCACACCAGTGTGGCCAGGGGACAGATGCATGACTCAGGCGCAGCCAAGAGGGTGCTTTCATCTGTGATGTTGAATCCTGAGCATATGACAAGGGGACAGCTGAAGGTCAACTCACTGCAGCAGCCATGGACCCGGAGACCGTTTGTTTCTGTTGTGTGGTCCTGTGCGGTGATCCAGGGACACTCTTGGTTTCCACTCCCAGTCTAATCCTAGCTCTCTAGCCACTTGTTAATTCTGGGAGAGCCCAAAGTTCTTCCAGTGAGGGTCCTTTTTGTTTAGAGGGGATTTTTATTGCTTGCAGCTAACATGCTTGTAAAGTGCAAACCCTGAAGCTCAGTCCTCACATTTATTCTGAGGTCTGCCCTGATGAGAATCCTCATGCATGCTAGTTTCCCATCTAAACTGATTCCTCCATCTCAGCCTCCCACCCTTCCTGCTCTCTGTCTCCCTTGCTCCCATCACGATGGTTTCACACCTTTAGCTTGTGGCCTGTCTTCCTCTCCTCCTCACGTGTAGAGGATCCTGCCTCTGTCTGTGTCTCACGCGGGACTAACTCCAGAGATGAACACAAGATCTCGACCTGGACAATCAGAGAACTGGCTTCCCCTGGACATGCTCATTGGTTGAGGAATGGCACATGACCTGGCTTGGTAGACTGTGAGCAGATCTTATATGAAATTTGCTGGAACTCTTGGGAAAGTGCAGCTTCCTTTCAGCTAGAGTTGCTAAACTGCTTGGTTGCAGACCTGGAGCTTCAAGGGGCAAAGATGAATATTACAAGGGAAGAGACTAGTAAAAGTGAAGCCAACACAACCAAGCAGAGACAAGAGATAAAGACAATGTCTTGGTAACATTGTTTATGCCTGGATCTAGCCATGCCTGAAACTGTCAGAGCCCTGGATTTGCTGGATATTTAAGCCACTTGAAGTTGGGATTTGGTCAATTACAGTGCAGATAAAACTGATTAACACACCATCTTACACCCACAAAACTGTTCACTTGGAGCCCTCCTTATCAATTCCCTTGGTTCCCTTTTCCTTCTATTGTTCCCACCTAGCAAAATCCTAATCCTAGATAAATCTGACTATTGGCCTTCCTGGTTCCAGCTCTGAGGCTACAGAGAGCTGCTGGGAAAGACCACATCAGACACAATGGAGTCACTTCAACTTCATGATCTCCAGACTCAACCCAGATCTCAGTGATGCCTTAAAATACTGCTGGTGTCCCCTGGCGAACTCCCTCATTCCCAGGCCAGTGCAACTGTCCCAGACATTCAACTCCTCTTGTAAATCTCATCTCAGCAGTTCCCTCCTGCCCTTAGCAAATGATCTTGCCTGTGTTAATTAGTTCGAACATGGTGATCATCTCACAGTGTAGACATACATCAAAATGTTAAATTGCATATAGAGAATTTTTATTTTTCAATTTAGCATCTATAAAGTTAACAAAAAGACCACTGGCAACTTTCTGCCCTTCCTGTCCACACACCCACACATTAGCTTCACAAAATTGTACCTGTAGGCACACTTATCCTTTCCTTCCTGGCTCCTGTCTCAGCAAGACAAGTGGACTGTTTCTTGTCCAGATCTGACCCTTCATCCCTTCTCTCCTGGCTTTGGGATCAGACACACATGAGCTCAATCCCAGCTCTGCTATAAAACTAGCCACACATGGCCATGGTCACCAACTTGCTGGGATCTGTGGCACTGCAGAGAACCACGCAAGCACCCAGAATGACCATGTTTACAAAATTGCAATATGACTCTTCACCGTGATGTCACATCATTATTATATGACCTGTAGGTCACATAGCAATATGGTCCTGCTGATGTGGGAACAAGTTACACCTGTAATTCAATTTTCTATAACTATGCCACATATTTGTGTTGGAGTTTCTAGAGGGTGGAGCTGTGCATAGGGTGGGGGACAAGAGGCCTGAAAGACATCAACTCCAGACTTCCACCACCTAGTTCGACTCCATGCTGGAGAGACAGAAAACCATCCCTACTCATTACTCAAGGGCATCTCCTGAAAGGATGTTGGGAGAAACCTAAGAAGGCACACGGCCTGAACCCTCGAACCTTACATCACCTCGTGTCTTTCACTATGACCAGCCCCCTCTGGACTTACACCACAGGCAATGTTGTATAGGTTTCTGTGTGTGTGTGCACCAGAGCACTTATTTCACCAACTCCTAAATGTGGTATCTCAAGGAAGATTTCACATGTGTCTTGAGCAAGCCTTTCTGAGTTTGGTTGCCTCATCTGTAGGATCAGAATGATGGCACCCTCCCCTCCAAGGGCTGTGGGCAAGATGGGAGGAGAGGATGGACTGTACCCTGGAAAATCCCGTGGACAGAGGAGCCTCGTGGGCTACAGTCCACGGGGTGCAAAGAGTTGGACATGGCTGAGCACATACAACCAGTCTCCTATAAGCCCGTTCTGGTTTCTCATCTTTTAAATCAAAATGAAGCAGAACTCTTCACTGAGCCCACATCCAGCTACCACGTCATCACCCTCTGCCCTCCGCCCTCTGAGAGTTCTTACCCTGGCCAGTTCTACTCCTGCATTTCCCTCAAGGCTCGCTGCCACCCGGGTTCTGACTTGACTTCTCCTGCAAGGGCTCTCCTCTGGTTTCTCAAGGACCCGTGGCAAAGCCTCTATTTGTATGTAGCCCGATGGCATAAATATAAAAGTTGTCAGAAGACAGGGATGCGTTGGAAGATAAAAGCCCCAGTAAGTTCAAGGCTAGGGTCTGGTGAGCAAGATGCCCCGGGGGCAAAGCTCCAGGAGGCGCTGTGCAATTCTGCACCCCAGACATCCCACTCACTTAACCCCAGGCCTGGCCCTGCTTCCCAAAATAATCCAATTTTAGTTTACTTTTGATCCAAAAGGATACAAAATTCACACAAACAGTAAAAAACTGTGTGGTCACTAAGAGGAATTAAATGGATACAGAAAGATGCTGCTCCCTCCAACCATCTGTTGCCATAGAAATAGAGGTCCAGGGTTACTATACCCTCTAACGTTACAGGAGAAGTTGGAAATGTAGATTTTTGTGTGAAAGCACATGACTTTAAATGTTGGCATTAGTGTGTGTGTCCCCAAATACATATCATTAGGCTAGATTCAACCCTCATGCTGTGGGTCAGAGACCTCTGGCTTGAGCTGGCTAAAGAGATGACATTCAGGGCCAGAAAGATGTAGATGGTGTTGGGGGAGTA